ATTAAAAAACAGGTACGTTTAGTCTTAGACGTCAAAATTGTATGTTTGTAAACAAAGAGCTAAAGAGTGACCATATTTTTTTAAGTTAGGTAGATACTTTTTGGTTTGTGGAATGGTTGAATTTTATGTAGGCCTCGTTGCTCTTATAATGAGACTAACGTATTATATCTGAGTGTAAAACAGAAAGGTCTTCAAATTTTAATAATTAAAAGAGTGTTGAAACTAAGGTTAGAGAGGTCCTGCTATTTTGCTCTAATTACAGTAAATTAAATCAGTCAACTCGGTTAATATACAATTAATTTTATGTTTCAGTTTTCCCAAGGACTCGGAAAAAGGCAGAAATGGTGGTCTGTTATACCATTAAAAGGGAAGTTTTATGAATCAGCAAAGATTTGTAGCTTACACTTTAAGCCGGAGAATTATGATCCATTAAGACCAAAAAGGCTAAAAATAGTGCTGTTCCGGTTGATTCTGTACAATTATGCTCCTGTGGTAATAACGTTATGGTAAGCATTTTTTACATTTCACAATGTGCTGCCAAATCCAACAACCATGTTGAGAATAATATTTCAAATTACAGGCATGTAAAACGCCATTCAAATGCTTGGTTTCACCTAATGCAATGATACCGACAGAAACTGATCCAGTGTCAGGAAAAGAACACAGCTGTTGCGAAAAGGACATACACATCATACAAAATGAAAATATTGTAAGTATTTAACTTATTGTCTAGTATTAAGGTATGTTTTTATCCTTTTCAAAATTTGCTGCTTACATACCTAGCAATCATGTTAACAATAATATTTCAAATTACAGGCAAGTACAACGCCATTCAAGTGCTCGGCTTCATCAAATGAAACAATACCAACGCACAACACACACAGTGAAAATATTGTAAGTATTTCATTTATTGTGTAGTATTAGCTTGTACTTATGGCATAGAAGTCAAACCAAACCTTCAACATCCAGGTTAGGTTTTTTTTGGTTTTTTCACGATGTAGTAAGCTCATGATAGACATTGAGACCTTTTGATCATCTTAGTTGTTACTGATTATAATCTTTGTTCCACAGGTAGTTGATGAAAATGAACCGCCAGCGAAACGACGCCGCTTAAAAGATTTTAATGTTCAATGTAAAATAAAGTCACTCGGGAGAAGTGTTTGGAAAAAACTAAAAAAAATTACAACAAAAAGTTGCGCGAAATGAACAAAAAATAAAAGATTTGAAGTCGTTAGTAAACATTGTTCGTAATTACAGAATATAACAGAATTCATAGTTCATAAAATTTTACAAAAAAACACTTGTAACTTTTGTCATCAATTATTAACTACCGAAAATGAAAAAAAAAAATATGATCATGATTATTTTGTTAATATTAATAGACATTCTGCGTTTACGACCTTTGTAAATAGGGATAAATTATGTTTCGCATCTGATGCAGCGTTCGAGGTAGTGCGCTACTCAGATAGTTTGTTTAAGCACTCGGTATCCAAAGGTATACTGTACAATCGAAATTAGTGTTAGTGGTCCTGGAAAAATTTTATCCACTGTTGCAGGAATTATTTGTGCCTAAACATCCAATCACTGATACTTGTATGGATTTACACGAAACTTTATTTTTTTTATGTAATCGGTCGGCAAACGAGCAGACGGATTACCTGATGGTAAGCAATCAGCGCCGCCCAGGGACACCCGCAACGGAGGAGTTACGAGTGCGTTGCCGACCTTTTAGGGATTTGGGATTTGGAGATTTAGGGATTGAGGGAGGGGAAGGATTGGGCCTCCGGTAACCTCACTCACACGGCGAAACACAACGCTGTGGTTGTTTCACGCTGGTTTTCTGTGAGGCCGTGGTATCACTCCGGTCGAGCCGACCCATTCGTGCCGAAGCATGGCTCTCCCACACTTAAAAATAATAAAATATATTTCGAAACTGAAATAATAAAATATATTTCGCATAGTTTTTTTAAAATAAGAATTCATTCTTATCTGAAAACTTATACTCAAAAGCTTTTGGGTGACATTCGCACTAAAAGGCAAAAATTGCATAAAACTGTTTTATTTTCACAGTTATCACAAGTTTATATCACACGTTTTATTAATAAAAATGATTTTGCACTGTAATGACTTTTTTTAAATATCCCCGGTACGGTCTGACGGCAACCTACCAATTATTCACCATCCGCTAGCCCGTGCCTATGGTGGCTGAAAATCGAGATCGGGATCCTATCGTCAACACGCATGATCTTACATTCGCCCTCTTTCAATATGTATAGACATTTGTTATTATTTAAATAAAAAGGACTTGATACTAGGCTTTATGATTTGGAATAAAAACGAGGACTTGTAACTGTTTAAGGAAATTTATTGAATGGTTGATATCGTGTGAGAAGTGATATGGAAGACAGAGGAGTTAGCGATAGCGTGACGAGTGACAGGACAGAATGGAAGAAAAAAACATTGCACCGACCCTAAATAAAACGGGACAAGGGCAGGAAGATGATGATGGTTGATATCGTGGACTGGTAAGGACTTATGAAATCAAATAGGTATTGGCTTTTAGCTGCAAGTAATTTTTAAGCTTAAATGGGAACTTATCAGCTTGACTTGTTTTCAAGGGGTGTTTTTGAAAGAATACCTATCATTATAATTCTTATTGTTTACATACGTAGTATATCTTTTTAACCGTTTCCGTGCGGATGATGCCGCACAGGCACCATGTAAATCTATTGCGTATGGCGTATGGTGCCCGAGAGGATACAAAACTAAATCATACAAAACTCGGCTTAAACGACATTCGTTAAAAGAGCCCCCTAAATAAAAGTGTCTTTATTTGTCACCCTTATCATGCCCACAGTGTTCGTTTTAAGTAATTTCGCAAATTAGCTGACATCAGGGGTTGTAAACCAAGTTGCCGACACATTTTATTATTGATTATAATTGTAACAGCCCACTTTCTGGAATGTTTCTCAAAAATCAAAGGCTTTTGTCATAAGGTTCATTGTTGCCTAAAAACGTACAAAGAGTGCGCTGTTCGCCGGCCCTTCGCCTACGAAGTACCGTATTTCCTTGCGTATACGGTTGATTATTGTTTAAAACTACGCCGTTCATAATTGTTTGCGCCGGCGCACAGTACAATATTTTGATAAACTAGACGGACAAAAGTCAATTTAGGACATGTCTTAAATGATCCTTCCAACGCCAAAGAATCAAGACAAGCTGCTTTGCTCTGGTATTGGTACAAAATAATTTTGTCCTGCTAGTTTTTCATACTAACTGTGCGGTGCATAACTATTTCACCCCGGCCGGGGCGGCGGGGCCCCGCACTTCTGTCTTATATTTAGTTTAGTCAGGAATATATTTCATTTTTTTTCTGGGTAACTCTACAACAAAAAAAAAAAACTTGTCAATTAAACGCTTAACAAAAATCCACGTTTTTAAATGGATAGACAGATATTTTTTATCAATAAAAACACATTTACATTCTTATCCAAATAAAACACTTCAAAATCATGTAAATGTTTATAGGTACCTACGAGTACAACATTTTTGATTCATTAGAATCGGACTTCCCATTCAGTTAAATGTTCTACAGTAATCCAGTATTTTGTAGAGAAACAATTTTATCATCAAAATAGTGAAGTTAAAATTGTTTCCCTACAAAACACTGTATTATAAATAAATATCACCTCGCGACAAACTCAAGTGGTACGAGTATAAATTCTTTACAACACTTGAATAAATAAATCCATGAAATAATGCAAAAAGGTTTACGACCCCTAATATAAATTAGTCACTTACCTTCCATTTCCATAAAAACACACAGATCGTCACTTTTAAACGCACTGAACGAATTTACTGACTGCCTACGTTAGATACACAATGTCAAATGATTATTTTAGCAAGTAGAAACACGAAAACAAGCTAAAAGTGACAATTCATGGCGGATGATTCCCCAGGCGAATCATCAAACTTTCTGGCGCTTGGTGCCTCAGAGGCATCACAGAATTTTTGTTTGACGCCAGGCACTAAAGATTGCTAAAAAGACTTCCGCACGGAATCGGTTAATTTGTGTTGCTTACCTGCCAAAATATTTGTGTCAAGTTTAATATCTAAAGAAATGATATCTAGATATAGCAGTATTACTGTTAAGTGTTAACGGTTGTGTGTATACGTAAGTACTCTTAAGGGTGTATTAAGATAACATGCGCTGAACACGCACAGCATCCGCGCATGCTTTGTGCTCGCCTTAGACCTAAAACATACGCAAGCGACGTAAAGCGAAGGCACGGGGCCGGCGCAGCGCAGGCGTTGGACAATTCACAAACATGCGGTAAACACTCATTAAAACATCTGTTATTCCAAAATCAAAATCGATCTTCAAGGCACCAACCGTTGTTTCCTTATCAGCACAAGAACACAGTTCAAAGCAAAACCCAACAGTATTTCTACATTTAAAAAATGTTTCTGGCCATGAAATGTTGACAAATATTTAAATATTTTTTATAATTTTTATGTAATGCCAATAAACGTCCTAAGGTACCCTCAACGCATACGGTATGTTGGTGGCATGACGTAGTTTTCTCGATCAACGCAAATGGTGCGTTGGTAGCAACGAATGGGATAAGGAACATACGACAGACAGACAAACATTTTAGCCATTGTATTTTTAGCATCAGTATCGAGTTATCGACTACCAACCCCTGATAGTTGTTTTGAAAATATATTTAATGTACAGAATTGAGTTCTCTACAGATTTACAATTATATGTATGTATAGATTACTAAACCAAAACTAATACGATCGAAAACCACACTAAAATAGAAATGTTGAATTTAAACAATCATAAATATGTACAAAATATCCTAAAGCTAGTAAAAATAGTTGTCACCCTGATGAAAGAGATGCAAAACATAAATGACGTGTATCAAGGTCATTTTATTAGTCCTCAGTTCTTTTTTCTTGGTGCAACATCCAGTGTACTTTATAATATTCTTGGGCGACAGCGACAGACATCAAACCAAAACATTCGTTCGTTCATGTAAATGAAATGTCTATGTCTACATTTTTATTTTGTTGGGCTACGTACAAAACTACGAATTCAATAAATTGATTGAACCATGCTTTATGCTAAATCAAAATTAATTAAATATATGAAATGTGTGTGATTTGTGATTTATCAATATGAATAGTGCAAGATCCGGAAAAATCTTAGAAGCAAGGTAACGATCAACATCTAACGGCCTAACTATTCTGCTAGCTGTCTTGATATTGAACGAAGAGTAAACAATGAAAACATGTGATTTGTTTAATTTTTAAAGATATTTCAATTAATTATGGTCGTTACGACTAATACGGACGGTGCAATGAGCACTTCCGACGCTGGTGAGAAGACCTACCCTGCCGCAAACTGTTACTGCAAAGACTTTATCCGCGGTTGTTGCACTCGAGAAAACTGTAGATTCATACATGTAATACCTCCGAAGTCATGTCTAAAGGAGCTATTTCGATTTTGCCATGATTTTCAAAACAAAGGATGTTATAGACAAAACTGCAAATTTATACACAGCACAGTAGAAGAAGAAGATAGTTTTTATGCTACAGGCAAGTTTCCCCATAGTACGCGAAATGCGCCTGTATGCCAAGCTTACGCAGTGAATGCTTGCAACAATCAAGATTGTCAATATTTGCATCCACCTGATGTGAGTGGACCTGAAATTGTGCCCATACATAATGTACCCCCACCACACCAATTCACCCACCCACCGCCACCACTGAAAGACGAAGATTCTCCTCCAGAAGCAAAATTAAGAAGATTTACTTATGAAGAAAACGGTATTGAAAATCAAGTTTTATCAACACAGAATATGTGCTCAAATTGTGAATCATTAGACCACAAAATAAAGTTGCTCCATGACAATATTAGTGTGCTATTGAAAAAAATTGCAGATTTAACAGAAAAGAATGTGCAATTAACCTCTATGAATGAATTTTTATTGGAACAGGCAGCCACAATGAGAACTGGTCAGCCCTGTGTGATAACTTCAAGACATGGCACTTCAGCACCTGTATCCCTGGCAACTGTTAGTGTGACTCCAGTAGTGAGCCTGGCAGGGGCTCTACCTACACTAGTACCGGCTGCAGCTACTCCTAATTTGGCTTTGGCTCCTGCAGCTTCTCGAGCACAATTATTAACTCCTGCTCCACAAATTTTGACAGTGAGCACTACTCAACAGTTAATGGGGAATTCTGGTGCTCTCATAGTCACCAGTGCTGGTGCTCAACAATTGATGCATGTTAGTGACTCTGGTACACTCATGGGTGGAGGACAAACTGTTGTAGCAGTACCGGCCCAGTTGACTTTGGCACAACCTGCACAACAACTCATGAGCAATGCTTCACAAACTGCTGTTCAACAACTCGTCCAGCAATCAGCTTTACAACCACAACTAGGTCCTCAGCACCAAGCCACCCAGTATGCAACTCAGCAATCAGTACAACACTTGGCTGCAGCTCAGCAGTCTGCCCAGCACCTTGCACAACAGTCGGCTCAACATTTAGCTGCTCAACAATCTGCTCAGCATTTAGCAGCCCAACAGTCAGCTCAGCATTTGGCAGCCCAACAGTCTGCACAACATATGGCAGCACAACAGTCTGCACAACATCTGGCTGCCCAGCAATCTGCACAGCATTTAGCAGTTCAACAATCAGCGCAACATTTGGCTGCACAGCAGTCTGCACAGCATTTGGCTGCACAGCAGTCAGCACAGCACTTGGCTGCACAACAGTCAGCTCAGCATTTAGCTGCTCAGCAGTCGGCGCAGCATTTGGCTGCTGCAGCGCAGCAATCGGCGCAGCAGCTCGCTGCAGCTGCCCAGCAGTCGGCACAGCAGATGGTGGCGCAGCAATCGGCGCAGCAGCTGGCGGCCCAGCAATCCGCACAGCAACAGTTGGTGCCCTCTGCTCAACAGTTGGTCCATCAAACATCTACTCAGCAAATTACAATCTCCAGCACTAGTCAGCCCATGGCATTAAGTAATTCTCAAGCGCAGCCTATTACATTCCCTATGATATCCCAAAGTATACTACCACATTAAGGAATGATCAATAATTTTATAGTTATTGTTAATCAATCATTCATTATGGTAGGTCAATGTGGTGATGCAAAGCCTCAGAGCAAGTACTTGCTCATAGCAGTATGATTCTATGCAAGTAATGTATTGAATGCAAGAATTTAAACAATATGTGAAAGAGTCTTCAAAATAATGTTGCTTATCAAGAATTTGTTGTGCTTGTAAACATTTAAGAAAGCAGTATTTTTATGATATTATTATAGTAGGAACCTAGGTAGAAAACTGTGCACACCTAAAATAGTGAATTGTTTATGTTTAAAGGCACTGAGGAAAGTTTGTCCAAGTGAGTTTGGGCTGATATTTCTTCATGATCTGTGTCTTACAGGGAACATACTACTTTAATTTTTTACTAGATTCACTCACAAACTGCAGGTGTAATAGTGTTCTAATTGTTTTTAATTTATAGCTTGTAATTATTAAATTGAACAACTTTTGTGTCTGTCTATGACAATGGACTTATATTGTTATTTTTTTAATTGGTGTGTTGCTTTGTATACGATAAATAGTTAGTAATTGTTTGTTTCCATTTAATATATCAATTTGTTTTAATACCTAGACTGAATAAAGCAATCAAATGGTATCATTATTACATTAAAAGTGTATACCAGTACCAACTTACCGATATTGCTGATTGGCTTTAGATGACTAAGATATTAGGCATGTACCTATCCATGTAATTTATTTTTAATATTAAAATTTAAATACTTTAAAAACATTTATTTTCAATAATTTTAGTTTACAATAACACTAGTAAAAGCAGTCATTATTTCTATAGGTCTTCATTTAAGGCTTCCTAATGTAGCATTCATGTTTCTTGTATTTTAGCAGTTTGCCACGAACTCCAAGTATAAAATCTCCAGCGTTATCAAAAGCTATTGCTGTTACATTTTCGGGAGCGTTGTCCACTATCTTTACACCTCCTGTATCATTTTCATGGAAATACATCAAGTCGTCACTTGCAATAAATACATTACTATTGTGGACAGCGATTTGTGCCATTCCATCATAAGACACGTTGTCGATACAAATCGGCGCCGAAAGCGATGATTTCAATACATATAATTTTCCATCTTTAATGTAATAGAAATTATTTTCGTCATCAATGGTCAGTTCGTTCAGTGCTTCAAGAGTACTAAAGCGAAATTTCTTGATCATTTCCCGATCTAACAAGTATAATTCTTCAACGCCATCATTGATTTCAGTAACATATTTGTTGCTGTATTTGTCTACAAATATCATGTCTAATTTGAAGGTACTGCTAGAGATAGGAGTAGCGTAATGATTTTCGTAATTGTACTCAAAAATACCCTTGCCTGTACCGAAGTAGACTTTCTTCTCGTTTTTGTCGACAGCTATTGAATAACTGACGTCCTTTGGCAAGCCTGGACATTTGAAAAAAAAATAAGGAAGTCTTACACGTAACATCACGCCTATAGTTCCCCGAGAGGGCTAAGAAGAAAAAAATTGTGCCTCATACTTTTCGCTTTTTATCCAGTCTTAACTAAGGTTGAACCTATAGACACCTAGTACAAGTTTTTTCTATTGGATAAGTCGGCAAACGAGCATACGGATTACCTGATAGTAAGCAATCGGCACCACCCATAATCACCTTCAACAACAAAGGAGTTACTAGTGTGTTGCCGGCCTTTTGGGAATGAAGGTCAAAAGGTTGCGCACATTTGAGGATTGGGAAGGGATATAGGAGGTGTAGGGATCGGGGGATCGTGGCTTCGGTAATCTCACTCATACGGCGAAACACAACGTTGTGTTTGTTTCACCCCGGTTTTCAGTGAAGCCGACAGTTCGTGAGGTTGTGAAAATACTACATTAATTTGCAAATAACTCGTATTTTAGTCGGAATCGGCTGCGCTACGTAGCCGCGACGCGCACGCTGCTCCCGAATAAGAGTCCTGTATTGACTTGAAACTAGTTGAGCTTTTTCAGTAAACTCATGTGAGTAAGCCGTTATTCTCAGTAAATCCCGAGTTATTACTTACTATAAGTTCCTCTATAAACATATACAGTATTTTGAGAACTATACAGAGAACATACAGAACACATTTCCTAAAGGATGCATTGAAAAATAACTCACCTTGTATTTTTTGAGGGGCGGTAGTATTGAATTTGATTACATTGGCGTTAAAGTAATATCCCTTATCATTTAATCCAGTTTCCACGTAAAATAGGTTGCCATAAACATCGTAGTGAGCATCAGTAGGGTGCACATCACCGATTTGATATGTATTTGTCACATTGTACCAATTATCATTGATCTTGAGTTCGGCTCGACACCCATTCCTCGGCAAGTCAAATGCGACACAGAATTGAAACCAAAGTAGAATTGCTATCACAATGTTTAAATTACTCATAGTTGGTTCAGACGTGCACAAATTATAAAAACTTAAAAAAAATACACAAGTAAAAGAATTAAGACTTGGATGATGCTTATGTATATGACCATTTACTTCAACATTACGTGGCTCAGTGATCCGCATATAAAACGATACTCCAATATAATAAGTAATAATAATAACATTAAATTGATAGGTATTATTATTATACCAACAAGAATAAATAGTTATTATTACAGAGGAGGAGGTGCAATGACACAAATAAATTAAAATAAGTAGGTATCTATAATATTAAACCTCTATGTAATAATAAAAAAGGCGATTACATAGGTACATAAATAATACTATCATTTTAATTGCATTACAATATCATATTTTGCAATAACTTTCGTATTATGTAGTAAGTAAACAATAGCTATAAATTAGAAATATCATAAATAATACACAATAAATAAATATAATTCATCCTATTTTAAATTATATTACGTACTTTTATTGATTTCAAGCTTAACGCTAAGTTACTGTTTTTTTAACATGATGACATGACATGTTATAAAATCTATTTACCTATGTGGTACCTACTAAGGTAGGTACATAATTACAAATTGAGCAATCGCCGATTGCAACTTGTCCTGTCCTCTAATTAATTGAGCTAACAAGATTTAAGACTGGTTTTGAAACAATGAGGATAACAGGAAGGAAGGAAGTCTAAATTAAGTTAATAGCACCGAATTTTCCGGATTAAGTAATTAATTAGTATTGGGGGCTGTTTATGAAACCGCATTACATTTTGAATAAAAATGGCGCCATGTTAAATAAAAAGCTAATTTTGTCTCATGTTCGGTCTCAGTTTGTTTTGGCGACCGATGCCGAGGCACCGATTGACTGGTCCCAGGAAGGACCGACCCTGTTGGTATAGTCAATACGAGTAGCTATGACACTCCCTTTCGCCCCGCAACGGGACTCTAGCCCTGTCAGCTGCCAGTCATTAAATGATTTTTCAACCATACAAAGGGCCGGCCCGGTAGGTAATTTCGATGGAACGAAAAGATAACGTCATGACTTTTAATCGCTGTGGAGATAAAAAGAAACCCTATGTAACAGTACGTGTGGTTAGCTTATTACTATTGAGAACTTTTCTTTTTTATAAAACCTCAGATATGCAACGTATTTAGCTTGCCCCGGGATTCGAACTTATGACCACTCGACTAACAAAGCAGCTGTAGCTAAAGAAACGTCTGTCTATCTAGACTGTAGAGTTCCAAAGCCCAAAGTAATATTCCTGAAGATAATAAATTATTGTACTTAATTTACAACAACTTAATAACGTTAACAATTTTGATCACAGTTGTCCTTGTCACTAATCTCATTTTCATTATTTAATATTCCCATTTGACATTGTAAGTACGACGGAAGACGACCTTGCCTTTCGCCTTTAATTTTGTGGATTTTCCATCTGTGTCCTTGTAAAATTTTTCTAGAACAAAACAGATTAATAAGTCTATATATTTAATTGATGTAGGCACACGATACATAAAAATCATATAACACAACTTATACACTTACTTCGTATTGAACTTTTTACAACAGATATCGCATTCAACAGTGCCTTGCCTTAAATGTATGTCTTTTACATGTCTTTTCATATCGTGTTGGTAGGAGAAGGCCTTTTCGCAGTATGAACACTGAAAAGTAAAATATAGGTATAACAAAAATAGGCCCTTATGCCAAACGTGCAGAATGAGTAAGTCATCAATGCCGCCCATATATGCACACCACCAACGTATGAGTTATCCAGTTGCCGGCTTTTGGAGAGGCAGAGGGAGGGTAGTACAGATGTAACATTGAAGATGATCAAAGGATAAGAGTACTTAATTCTGAACCAAACATACCTTGAATGGTCTGGTAGTGCTATGTACGTGTCGCATATGTTTAGCCAAGTTACTGGATGTCGTCGTCGCTTTGGGGCATTGTGTGCATTTAAATGGTTTATCAGCCAAATGAGATCTCTTGTGCACCTTCAGTAAGTCCATTGTCCGCCCTTGATACGGACAAACGTCGCATTTGTAGGGAAACACATTTTCATGGGTGGCCCTGTAAATACATTTTTCCAATATCAAGCTTGGTATAAATACTTTTCAACAAAGCTGACAAAAAATCACAGGATATGCCAGTCGGTTATTTATTTTTATATAGCTTAATCTATGTTGTGTTGGTTGCGTGGCTGCCGCGATACTTATGATTATGGGTCCCTGGGCTAGAAACTAGTCACGTAAATCCATAATCAGTTATGGGAGACATTTAGTTAATGGTTACTTACTTATGTACTAGTAGACTCGCATTAGAGAGTGCAGTCTTCCCACAGATATCACATAGAAATTTCTTCTTAGTTACTTCCTCAGGTGGCTTCGGTTCTTGTGATGGCTGCGCATTGCACTTGTTTATGTGATTGGTGTAGTCAGACTGTTGAAAGAGATGTTTTTACACACTTGACATTCTCTAAAGAGTATGATAGAGATACCCTTATGTTAAATAGGATGGATACTAAAAACCCAATAAAAAGTTTTGGGTGTTTGGACTTGCAACTCTTAGTATTAAGTTTATAGAGATTTTTAACATAACATCACGACTCTATATTATTATCCCCGTTAGTCTATCTCCAGAAGTGGAGAATAGATATTAATTTTAACATGTTTTTGACAAAAATATTGATGTGAGTTTTATTCAGTCCAGGTAAGCCTCACTACCTTCAGACTAGAGCAGACTGTGCGGAATCTATGCTATTACTGTCCATTATCGAAAATCTACACTCTTAAGTATATATTCATAATTAGATAGACTTCAATTACATGTTGACCTGTACTGTTAGTGGAGCAGTGACTGGGCAATGTGTCGCGGGCTAAATTATTATTCTGGGCCTGGGTGTGATGTGCATATGATTTTTTGTTTGTATATGCACCCATGACCCAAGAAAAAATCCTGGTATGGGGAAACAATATAAAATCCATCTCCTGCTCAACAGTCATTGAAAGCAGTCAGATCTAAGAGCTTTTTTTAGTAAAAAGGTTGTTTGTCTCACCATAACATAAAATTCTTCACCACACTTGCTACAACCCCAAAGAGAGAGAAGTTCTGAGTTATCCGTGGAGAATGTTGGTGATGGAACATTGTAAGAGTCTTCGCTATCAGCTTTTGGATCATTATTCTCTTCCAAATTTGCACTGTCTTGATTGTATTCTGTAAATGAAAAGGGTTTTTTTATATAGTTATATTTTTGAAAATAGTACATGAGTTCTTGGAGTTGTGAAAAGAAGAAACAAAGCTCTAGGTTTTGGTTCAAGTAGTATTTTTAAAAAAAGGTTTCAATATTTTTTTTTTGTATGTTTAAGATATCAGATGCTGATATGAAACTTTTATATTTGTTTGTTCTTTCCTTTCACTGGATCACAGGATCCCGGCCCTTTGGAAGGCGTATGAGGGACTGAACCCAATTCGCCAAAAAAAGGCCCATTGAAAAGTTTTAATCTAAATGTGATAGGACATCAGCTGGTAATTATCCCTGTATGCACTATAAAAGTGCACCCAAGTACAATCCCCGGTTGATGATTATTAGTGTTATAATAAAAATTGGGTTCTAAGATCATACTTTCATTAATCCAAGTGTGTTTAATGTTTATTAATCTGTTTAATTGTAAAAACAGAGTTAACCAATATTGAATTCCTTACCTTGTTTTATAGTAATTTCAATCAAGTGTTTATTATTCCTCTGGCACATTTCTCGAAACATTATACATCCATTCAAAAGGTCCAAACAACTTTGACACATATGTTTTGATAAATTATCAGCATTATTTAACTAAAAAATAAAATTATCAGTTAGATTGCAACACATCATATTTTCCCAACTTCTAATGGGTAAGCTCACATATTTATCAATTTTATGTATATCATGTAACAGGGGAGCCTGGTCTCCTACACAAGATACAATTAGTACTGAATTACATTCCAATTAAAGTATCAGATAAAATAATATAAAACTTACAACAATACCAGAAAAGTTTTGTATTTCTTCAGGAATATTAGGTTGTTTGAAATTGTTAAATATTGGTATATCTCCTTTTTCGTTGTTGCATATCCTGCACATATTTATTAAGTTTATTTTCTCTCTTTTAGGGCTGGAAATGAAATTATGGAATTATTTAAAAATCTAAGGTTTTTAATAAGGTTGTGATGGATTTTTCAGTTTTTAGTAATACTTAATGGCATACATTTTATTCAGGCGTACCAATATAGATAGTATAAGGAGTACAGTATTTCTACCATGCAATACTTACGGTTTATATGTTTTCTTCATCCTGCTCTTCTTCTTTTTGTTCTTTTGGAGTGCATTTGCATACAACATTGATTTGAGCAATAAAAGAGATGACATTGTTCTTTTATTTATAAAACCGCGAACCTAACAACTTATTAACATTTTTGTATTGTTTCAGTTTATGTCTCTTATACTCATTATATTTTCTTGGTTGCGGTTGGTTGTAAATTGCTTTTGTTTATATATTTTTACACTCTTTATGATGTATATGGCTATCCCTTTCTAAACAAAAATCTCTTCAAGTAAGAGCCGTCAACGTCAAACAGATTTTAAGAAACTGACAGGCACGCATATAAAAGTTTTTCTGAATTTAAACTCTAATAATATTTAAATCTTTAGAAGGAACTATCGTTTTCAACCAAACAACGCAACTTAATTTTCTATCAAATCATTTTTTGATTACCTACATATTGATACAATTGGATAATAATATAAAAGTTTTTCTGAATTTAAACTCTAATAATATTTAAATCTTTAGAAGGAACTATCGTTTTCAACCAAACAACGCAACTTAATTTTCTATCAAAATCATTTTTTGATTACCTACATATTGATACAATTGGATAATAAGACCATTTTTCAATCTTCACAGTCGTGGACGGTGGATATATTTTGTCTATGTATGGTTCACGGGAGGCGAAAAGGTTGCTTAAAAGACTTGTATCCAGGCCATAAACTCAAAAAAAAGAGGCGGAGAGGAGATCATTGTTTTACATTCCGTCAATTGTCAAATTAATCAATGTTTATTGAGTTTATGCGAATAGTAAATAAAAGAAAATGTGATAGTAATATAATTACCTGTCGTAAGAACGTACTAATTGGAACCATGGCAGTCTACTTAACGAAAAAAATGTTATCAAAGATGAATAAAGTGAAGTATCCGTGCGGTTCGCCTGTTCAGATTGAGACTATTGGTCGTGATGATCCATGGCCTAGCCTTATAAACGAGAGCAAGTAAGTGTTTAAAGTTTCTCCATAGTCGTGCTTTAATTTGTTCAGATGTTGGTACAGGCGTATGAATGTTCTAACATAATTGTTTTTTCATTTGCAGCAATAGTTTGTTGCATCTCTCAAAGGAGATGATATGTAGAGTGTGTGCCAGAAGTGCCTGCCATCCCCTGAGTGATCGTATCAATGGTTACGATATTATGAGTGCTATTCGCAGTATTTGCAATATTACTGTAAGTTTAAGTCACTACACTAATCTCCTTATGATTTGAAAAATTCTATGATATTTAAGCTTAAAACTTTAATTAAGTAATTAATGACAAGCTGATAAGTGTCTTGGTAATTATATTACTATACTAACAAGAATCTGTAATTTTCTGTTATGAATCAAACATAATTCAGATCTAAAATCCCAGTAGGATGCAATTATTATTGGTATTGCTCTTATGTGCATCACTTAATTATTTAATGGTTGTCTTTACATTATCTTACAGATTGAAGTTGATGATTCCTTGCCAAAGTTCATTTGTACTGAATGTTTGGATAGACTCAAGAATGCAATAAATTTCAAAAGCACATGTGAAGCATCTGATAAGAAATTTAAGAAAATATTAAATCCAACAGGTAACAACATACCTACATGTATAAAAACTTCTTTTAAATTTGATTATGTAAAGGTAAGTTCTATGGAATGTTAATGTAACCTTAATGCTTTTCTACAGGCAACCCAGTGACACCATCATATCCCTATTCAAAGCATGATTTCCAATTGATACTGCATCAGATTAAGAAGAAGAGGATGAAACTTGCGGAACAGGCTGCTAAGGAAGAGATGAGGAGAGAAAGACTGCAACAAAAGAAGCAACCTAAAGTGAAACAGTTCAAGTGTTCAACTTGTGACTTGACATTCCCAAATAAGGTTTGTATTATTATAATAATACTTTATACTCAGTATTTTGTAACATTCTGCAAGTAAGATATTTGCCAAGACAAAGATGGGAATGGGAGGTAAAATATATTTTATGGCCAGATGTTTTATAATAATCTATACTATCTATACTAATATTATAATTAGGTAAAATTTCTATGTTTGTAAGTTTGTATGTAGGGGGTAATCTTTGGAACTGCTGGTCGGATTGCCAAAATTCTTTCACTGATAGATAGCTACAAGGTTCCTGAGTGCTAGGCTATAAAACATAACGCTACGATCAAATGGAGCTGAGCAGCAGGTGATACAGCGCGAGATTAGCTAGTGGCTTATATGCAAAAATTGGTATTGATCTTGGCCTAAGCTTTATGTACCCTACTGATCACAGGACAATAGGTGAGTTAACAGAGACAATATAGATACAATTTGTCTTTTTAGGAAAAGCTGATGGAACACCGACGGGAGCGCCAATGTATGCGTCGCGCATGTGATATCTGTGGCCAATTGGTCTTGAGCATTGCTCAACACATGCGTCACATACACAAGCAGACTGTGCCACACCAGTGCCCTACTTGTGGCAAAGAGTTCCCTATTATTGCTAGACTTAAGAATCACATGTAAGTTTAAGCATTTAAAAGATTTATATTCATATTGGCATCCAAGGTGAATTGGTTTTTATAACCACAACCAAAACCAAATCCCGGTCGCAAGGATAATTTCTTGAGTGAAAAATAGAGAAATGGTTGTAATAATCAGTCAAATTTATTTTTATTGGCATCTGCGTATGCAGGCTTAAACATTTTTGCTCATTAATAATGAAGATAACAACCTCTCATTTATTAAGACTTAATACACACAGTTTAGTCAGTACAGGAGACATCCTGTATTCATTATTTGGATCCGCAACCCTGGCTGTAGTGCGATATTTGTGCTTGTTGCAACTTAACTACTTAATGTGTTTATGTGTAAGCCTTTTCAGCTCCCTATAACCTTTATTTTTATTTCACACAGGTTGGTCCATACAAACACATTCAACTTCTTCTGTGACCTGTGTCCGTACAGGTGTAAACACAAATACTATCTAGTGATGCACATGCGCACTCACACTGGGGAGAAGCCATACAAGTGTACCCAGTGTCCTGCTACTTTTGTTAACCCATCCAATCTCAACAAACACAAGCTTACCCATCAGGCTAAACAATTTAAGGTAAGCAATTCGAATGTTAGTACTGGTAATAAATGTAAATACTTAAAGATCTTAAAGAGGCTGAAGTTTATTTCGGCATGTTCTATATTTTCTTTAGCAAAAAAATTAAATTCGTAATGAATAGAATCGTTCGAAAACAATGGTGTCTCCATCGTCAGCGAAAAATATGTTACTTACTGTAAGTGTGCCGAAATGTTCAAATATTTTTGTCCTTAGTGCTCTCTTTGCGAAAAATCGTTCCGCACGAACACGGCGCTTCGGGAACATCACGAGGCCACGCATATGAACATCAAACACACATGTAACTACTGCGGACGTGACTTCTGTTACAAGTAAGTAAGAAAAAATCTTTGCAATCCTGCTCTTTAGTATAATGATGTGTGAGAATCTGGGAAAACGTATTCTATGCAAATATGTTACATGATATTATATTTCATGTTCGGCATTACTTGCCTATATATTCGTTCCCTATGCTTTATACTTACCAGTCACAATATTAAATAAGCCACAGCATTATTATTCAAACATATTCACCATAAATGTCTAGTTAAAGTAGTTACTGAAAATGTATCAAACAAGTTTAAGTAATTAGAGTTATGAAACTGTGGTTACTCTGCCTATGTGCCTTGTAATATCAACAGAAGTGTCAACGAGAACAAAGACTACAAGTTAGGCGTTTAACTGAATTTTACGAACAGATAAAGTTTTAAGTGCTCTCTTGCGACGCCTTGACTGTACAAATACGTTACCTTTGACATATTAAAATCGGATTTAAGTTCATTTGGCAACAATTATTGAAAATTGGAAGTCAAAGTGAAAGTCAATTCTCGTATACATGCATGAGGTTTCGAGTTTCATATCTGACAAGTACCAATGTGACTTTTTCCAAGATATAAATGTTTTTTGCCACCATGTTAGTGGTGTCTAAATAAAGTTCATCTATCTAAGAAAGTGCATGTCTGTACTTAAGGAAACCTGGGATTATAACTTTCAATTTTAAGTTTAAAAAGTAATAAAAAGTCTTGAGCAAAAGAGATTTGAGTGTGAGCATGTATGCTTCGGTACGAATGGGCCCGCTCGACCTAAGTGGTACGAAAATCGTCGTAAAGCAACACTTACGTTGTGTTTCGCCGTGTGAGTGCGATTACAGAAGGCTTAATCCTTCCCCTCCTATCCTCAAGCTTCATATACTTAAATTCCAAATGGCCCACAATAGGTTCGTACCGTACTTTTAGTAACTCCTTTGGAATTATGAGTGTCCTTGGGCGACATTGATTGTTTATCACCAGGTAATCCGTTGTGCCAAAGCAAGCGAAGTGGTTAATGCTTTTCCACGAGAGAGGCCTTTGCTCAACAATGGGCATTTATAAGCTGATGATGTTAGATGTGACTTGATACATAGATTCTAATTTGACCTTACTACCTTTACCTTAACTTTATATTGGCTAAAATATAGCATTATCATTTGAATATGCACCTTTGTTGTTCCGTACTTCTTATTGTTATTATAGAAAGCACTCTGCAAACTTTCAAACATACACAATCCCTTACAGAAACTCTCTTCTCAATCTTGTAAATTGGCGCCGCGCATTAGGAGTAACATAGCAATGCGCTTTGTTCAGACACATTAACAACTTAAGTGCAAAGACGAATAAGTTTTATTTTAATAATAATGTCAGATAATAATAGTAAGGGATTCAGTATTTTTGTTTAAAGTATTTGAGTATTTCTTGCAAAAAAATAACTATATAATATAACGACAAAAGAAAATGTAATACAAGCAGGGATGTGTACGTGTTAATAAATCTGATCAAGCCATGCAAGCAGTGTCAGTACAATGTTATTATAGGGAGATTTTATATGCTTCTGATAATATAATCTTGTTTCTTCATGACATCGCGTCGGCTTTGTATGCCGTATGATTAAGTCATGGGCAATTAACAGGAATAAAGAGCACATCGTTTCTTAAAATAAAAATAATACGAGTTAAAAAAGTTTTAAAATATTTATTTAAGTTTACATAGTTAATATTAACTAAATACTTTCCGTATTTAGTGTTCATTAATGACGGAACAATATACTACAATTATATTCTCGTTCCTAGGTCGGACTTACGCAAGCACGAAATAAGGAACCACAACCGGATGAAACGTGACTATGTTGGCGGGGAACCAACATACAAGCAAGTGGAGAGGATGCAGAAAATGCAAGAGACTGATGAAATGGAAAAATGGCGTTCGCAAGAGATGGCCATGGCGCAGATGCCAGTGCCACAGAACACGTACATCGAACAGCCCAAGGAGTACATCTCCAATCATACTCTGTTCTTCCCCGATGTCGGCATGATGCAGCCGCAGCAACATCCGCATATGGGTGAGTTTCCTTTGATAGTGTTTCAAATTAAGTAGCGAATTAGGCTCATTAGGTATGGCTATTTTTACTTTTTCAGATGTCTTTAAACTATACTATACATTTATTAAACCTTATTTATCCATCAGAAATGAATTTACTTTGTTATACTTGGTGCCACGTGTTTCTTTACGCGACACAATCGCAACTATGTTATGTTTATATCACGTAATGTCACCTGTGTCGCGACTCGTGCCTGACGCAAAGGTTCAGTGGACCGCGTTGAAAAGCTCGCCGACCCGCAACTTGGGTGTCGCTGGTCGTGTGATGATATCATTTATGTGTTATTAATACTCGGAGGAGGCGAATAGACATTGATTTACTGTAATCTATATTCATTTACAAGCGTACCACATGTCTTAAGTATATTATGTGTACAGCGTTTGTGCTGAATTTATTTCTTACTAGGTATTCTCGCGCGGTTTCACCCGCTCAGCTCAATTTAATCGTAGCGTGATGTTTTATAACCTATAGCACCCAGGAACCTTGTAGCTATCTATCAGTGAAAGAATTTTGGCAATCCGGTCAGCGGTTCCAAAGATTACCCCCTACATACAAACTTACAAACATACACACTTACACATTTTACCTCTATAATATTAGCATAGATTACTATGAGCCTAATCTACGCTATGGTGATAAATGATGGCGTAGCACAACTACTTGCATACTTTTATATTTGATGTTACAAGTGACGGTATTGGAATACTCGTAATTAATAACGATTAACGTTGATAGTTACTTACGTTTTAGTTACTTGATAGAAGATTTCATGTCGGCAGTGGCGGTATCGAACTTAAAATAAATTGTCTTGTTTGTCCATAGTTCTGTTTATTATTTTTGTGGTTTCATACTTTCCTGCCTGGAGTTAAATTGTTCTAATAAAAAAGTTTAACTGAACTTATGTTCAGTCCAGTGGTCCATTTTTATTAATTCCTGATTTTGTTTCTTTTTTTTCAGTTCAACAACACACTGTGGAGCTGACACTGTAAGTAAAGTTTATTGCTTATTTATAAAAAGGGACATATTTTTTATTTTTTCCTGTAACTTCTATTTAAACAGAATAAAAATCAATTAAAACGCCTTAACTAATCATTCGTATTTCATTATTGTAATAGGTTTGGTTTTATAACACACTTTATTAAGATCTAACTTAAATAATTACCAAATTCTTAAGACATGGAAGACCTTTTCTCGTTATTATTTTATCAGTAATCTATTCTCATTTTTATATATAGTATTTTAAAGAGTATAGGTTCGATTATATGTTTATTAGCATTAAATAGGAAAAGTAATAAGGTCGATAAAAAATACTCCACTATTAAAAAGCTTTTTTTTGAGGCAGGAACACTAGCTACTTTTTATTCCAATATACCTATACAGCGTTATTCCTACTCCAGAGAAATTCGCAGACGAAGCCGCAGTGAGAAAATAAGTTCTTAATATAGGTAATTTATTTCTATTTCCTTCATTTCAGGCCTGAACTGGGAATGAAAAAAGACGAAGTGAAGTTGTACGAAGCCCAGCAAGGAATCGGTTTTTACTAAGATTATCTGCATTTTTTATTCTCAGAGCATATTATTTAGTATTTACTTTAGTTATCTACTATGTACAAGTATATCGTGTTTATCCATAAATGCTTTAAATTAATAATCAAGCTAATTCATGTAACGCTGAAGTTATAATAAAGATAATGATTTTATTCTATTGTACTTAATTAGACTTTTTATTTGGTACCCTTTTTAGGCTTTCGTAGAAGGAAACTTTTTCCTTTTCCTTAAACTGAAGGCAACTGAGATCGATCATGAAAAGTCAGAAATAAAGATTTCCCGACACAAATATCTGCCAAAAAACGAGTTTTCCGTCTATCAATTTGTATTATTTCGTTGCTTTGTGAACTGGTTTACGGTAAATTAAGTTTAGTCGATTTGTATCCCTAAAAGCGTACATTCAATGGAATCTGTCGAAGGAACCGCCTCTAATCGCTGCCATCAACTTGAACTGAGACTATTTCTCTTGCCTAAATGTTTCGTAGTCCTTCGTAGCTGCCGTTCCGCTACGTCTTTCGTAGCTGCGTAGCCCTACATGTCATATTCACGTAAAATATTTTGCTCATTGTTTTATGAAGAGAAAAGAAAAATTTATATCAAACGCTATAAAAATATTATCATATTTTCTTGTATTAATAATTCAGTGGGTCGAAAAATGTATGAAGAAAATTGTAGGATAGCGTAAAAGATTTAGCTGTAAGGCAGGCGTAATTTTGTAGTTACATAGTTTAATTTAATTTTTAAATCTAATAAGGGATAGGGCTTAAAGCGTATTCTCAGAACTGTTGGGACATGCAATCTCGTTCGTTTCGTCAGTCATAAAATTTTCGGGGCTATCAACATAGTTAAGTATAGTTAACATCGTTTTATAAAGCTACGGGCCCTGCGTAACGACCAGACTTGTATCAAAAGTGGTTTAGTGTCCATTACCTATCTAATACCGTCCCGGTAATGACGCAGGTACTTGTATGCCTCATACATAACTTTATTATCAGCCAAAATTAATTGAAGGATCACTTACAAATTAATGTATACGTGATCAGATCGTTAATTATTTTCATCATCATTTTCATGCGATGAAATATTCGGTCGACGTTACACCTACGTTTTACTTTATCCTTCGAACATAAAACGTTATTCATTTTTTAATTAATAGGCCGGTTGTGTCGCTTTGGTGCGTCGTCGCCTGTAAAAATACTTTTGTTTTATTAGGTAGGTAAATATTACACTTTTTGATATCGTGGTAGTTCGTGGAAATAAATGTATTCTATTTTAGTCTTGTTCATATAACCAACAAGAGTATAAAGCAGCCTTCGTATACATATTGTTCTGAAATCGGATAGTACCTACGCCCGGTACACAATTGGGTACCTATTTGATTCGGTACAAGTTACTGCCATAGTTTGGGGAGATTAATAATTGCGATACACCTAATTATTGTTTCCTATTCTTAAGAAATTTGACAGGAGGATAGTGGAGAATGAAGTGCCGGTGCCCTGCTTGACCTCTTGCGCTTGGTCCAGGCCATATCTATTGTAGAGCGCAGTCATGCTCGGAGAGAAGAAGATGGGGCGCGTGAGGGCACGAGTCTTAGGAAATACGCAAGCCCATTGCAAAAATCACGAGACAATCTCCAGCTACCGTAAGAGCAGGCCTCCGTACTGCGAACAGCTTTAGGCGGAGAAGAGCTATGGGCTGGATATATGGATGGGCATAATTGGGCGCTAGTGGGCACTAGGGCCGATGTCCAATCCAATCTGGGTTGCGGTTGCAAGCGCAAACATGTACCATTTTCCAGCCCGGAGCAGGAATTGGAACAGGGTGGTTTTCAGTCAGTAAGAGTCTGACACTCCCTCTCGTCATTGTCATTGGATGATTTTCCTTTTTCAAAAAAGGGCTTGTCTATAGGCAAATATGTTACTGAAAATTAGACGAACAGACAGATTTTTATTTTCATAGGTACGCGTGTAGGACTTATGGACGATGATTTGATTTATCCTTTTCCGTGGTTTTGACCAATCCATTTACAATATGGATAAGAAAAGATTTCAAAAGATAGCTACCACTGGCTAAACATTCTTATAAAAGTTTTCCTATTATTTTATTGTCATACTAGTCACGTTTCTACAAAACCCTTTTCATTGTTTCGCTATATCCCATCCTGTACCGATTTTACTGATGTTTCCGATTTCATTCCAAGGTAGTTTCGTATTGTAACAATAGGAAACGTGTTCAGTTCCAACTTCCTGTCAGTTTGCATAATCAATGCAATTTCTTCGTCAGCGATTTAAAATCCCTCGCGAGTCTTGAGAACCAAGATTCCACGAGTTACGTAGGTTAGGTAGGTACTACTTTTTACTGTTTGACGGCAGTATTTCTTCGCGAACTTTTGAAAACTGATATCTTTTAATGAGATCTCTGTGCGATCATATCGCATGTGAAACTTCTCTGGGGTCACCTTTATAATTTATGTTCTCACAGAAGTTTATTTCTTTAGTTAGTTTTAGTAGGTAGGTAGGTACCTAGATATTTTTTTCATAATTTATTTTTTGCTTTGGTTAATTTCACACATATGCAATAAAGAATACCTACCTTAATCCATTAATCTTATTCTTTATGCTTTCTTCATAAATGTAAAACTGCCGAGCATGAGATATACCTACGTGACACGTGTGAAATAACTCATTTAAAATAAAGAAAAAGATACTTAATATTTAAGCATTTGACTGCCGACAAAAACTGTTGAAGGCTAACCCTCCGCTAGCGTCGGACACCATTGTCCGACATGGCGTTCTAAGTGTTACTTCTCCCCAGTTAAAACAAATCGTTTATAAAACTAACTAAAACCTTCCTAGACCATATTAGCTACATACATACTTACATATTTAAAATCATTTGTATTTACCTAATTCAAGATTTGATATAAACATACTTATCTAAAAGATTTACTGAAACTCGTAGAAAGGGCACAATTAATAGCAGTAAAATTAAACTGACTCGTGGAACACGTGTTTCTAAATAGAACAGTGGCCTGCGGTGGCCATAACTTACTAAGGCAGTAACGCGATGCCTATTATTCTTATTAGGTCCCCAAGTAACGGTTACTCAGTGAGACGACTAATGAACAAGTCTCCATTGCGTAAAAATGGAAATTACCTAAGTAGGCGCTCGAGCTTAGTCTAGATTAAGTGGGTAATTATTATGGAAATAGGTGTTAATTTCAATTTGCTCGCTAAAGTACTTGTCGGGCTGTCTTAACATTTCTTTTGTTAGTGTAAAAATAAATTTTATTGTCTTAAAATGGTTTCAAGGATTCCTTAATATTACAAAGTGGAGGTCACTGTCATTTCACCCAGTTTTACAAGCTTTTTATAAATAACGGTTACGGTAACGGTTTTTTTTAATAATCCCGTTCCTACTTCTTTTTACCTACTATCATCGTGAAAAATTTATTTGCCCGATTTACAGATCAAACTGGAACATTTAGAGGCTTAATACTTTTCTTACCCTTACAAGCACCAAAAAACGGTATGTAACTTTTTGAGCCTTTATAATGACAATACAGTGAAGCTGTAATGTTAAGGGCCTCCGGATCCTCAGTATCCAAATTCCTTTTCTTCAACCCCATAACAAGTCACAAAAGCACAAAGGCTGGCAATTTATGTACCTACTTGGAGATACGAGTGACCATGGACTGCGATTGCTTACCATAAATGGGCCAGTTTTATCATCATCATCAGTACCTACTCGATAAACTTATGTGGTTTAGATAAAACGTTGTAAAATACTGAACTTGCGTCTGTGTTTAAGGTTTTGAAACCGGGCTTCCATGACCACCTTAGCTCGCCTCACAATCACAATCACAATATACCAACTGTAGCGTTTCTATCTGGTATTTAGGCTCTCTTTCTCAAAGATGGACTTGGTACTTATTTAATTCCTAGAAATAAGTTCCTGTGATCTTGCTACGCTATCGCAAAACATACCTTGGAAAACGACTTTTAAGTCTGCGATTCTTTACACGTGTGTCGCAAGTCGCAACGTTATACCTACATGGGTATCTACATTTTAACGTTACGATTTTTCCTGTGTGCGGGGTGCTTTTACAAACAAACAATTTCACATACAAACCCGGTACCTACAACACTTTGTAGATCACACAAAGAGTTGTTCCATTATATTTTCAACACATAGAACACCTATGTAGGTAAGTTCATATACCTGAAAAATAAAGACAACACACGAGTAGGCTTATATTGAATCTTTTGGTGTGTGTAGAAAACAATGTTTTGGTAGATACGCTCTTACACCAAAACCCATGTGTTGGCTAACGATACGATTCGGTGGCTAATACTTTTGGCTAAAGGTGGCTCAAACTTTTGTTGAATTATAGTTAAGGTAGAGTAAGGTTTTTTTTAAGGAGGAAAATACATCCAGTCCTTTCTCCCGCCCTGGATGGGGCGAAAGGCAGTGTCAGAATAATACTGACTATAAACAACTCATTCCTTCTTAAGTTAGTTAAATATTTATTACATTTACAGGTAAACATAGTTATAAAATAACGTTACTCAAGTGAATCTTATTAACATATAGTAACCATGGACATTCTTGCTCATTCTTGTCAATAGGAATCTTCATTTTGGAACAAGCAAAGCAAGCAAGCTCCACTAGACTAAGACTGACATATTTCGGATGTACATATGTGGCTAGTGGCTTAAGTGTTATTTAAATTCCTAAATTAATTTCTTAATAAGGACTTCCGTCGTCAAATCTAAGGCTTATACAGGCCCTTTCAGATTTAAATGTCTGACTATGAATGCTAGGTGTGATTGAATAAATTAATTAAGTCGCGCATATTCAATATCTTAGTCTGAGGAAGGAAACTTTCACTATATCTGTGTCTGAGTTTTTAAAACTTAGAATAAGTAATCTCTTGTATGAATAATTTATCTACTTACTTAAGTACATTTTTTACGCTTCGAGATTTTCGTGCCTAGCTAATTAGCTCGTCATTTATTTTGAAGTCTAATTAAGTTCATTGTGGCTGCATGGTTATTCAAATCTTGTCTACGAATAAAGCCAAACTTTTTTTTTAATTAATGTTCTGTTTCTTAACACCCTTTAATTAGGTCGACCTGGAACGAACTGTGGAATCTATGTTATCTAG